CCTATGGACCACCGCTCATCTTCTTGGGACAACATGCTGAGCCCGGTCGAGAATCGACTCTCGAACTACATGCTCGGGTCCACCACTGACCTAAACGTCACTTTCACGACAAACGCCAGTAGCGACACCTGTCACAATCTCAGTGGCTGGGACCGTGGAGAATCCAGCTCCAGCGTTAATAACAACAACACACATGACAACAGAGCTGATTCCAAAACGAGCCCCGGGTGGTCTAACTTTTTCGATTCTTGCCCCTTACCCGACCCGACTTCAGAGAACTGGTCTTTCAGGCCACCACAGCCGAGTGTGGGCCCTTCTTCTTCCAGCAGGCAAAATTACAGCTCTGCCCGTGTTGGCCTCAGTTTGAACTCTAATGACGGGTACGAAAGGGAGCCTCATCGTTTTTACAAGTCAGATCGCTCGGAAATCGACACATTTTATGCTTCTTCGAGTAATTTAGGAGCTCTTATGGGCGGCTCGAGTGCTTCAGCAGACAATGATGAAGTATCAGGCCCCCCGTCAGGCTCGCATTTCGGGTCTTGGGGTTCGTCTTGCAAGAGAAAGGCTCTTGAGGGTACCTCTGGAAGTTCGAGCTCTAACGAGCAGAACCCTTTTCCCGGTAGTTACCATTCTCGAGGAAATTTAAGCATATCTTCGTCTGGTTCGCTCGACTTGCCTCCAGCCATTAACCAAGAACAGGTTAATAATCCTAGCACTGGTTTTTTCCCATCCTCTAGCAGTGGTTTATCCGAAAGCCCGGCTAGAAATTTCGCTTCAAGATCGAACCTTGCACTTCGTGAGCCGATTCTATTTGATAATTCAAGAATCACTTCTTCAAGGAACCTCACTGCTTATTCCTCCGAATCAAGATCACCCGTGAGGATTACAATGAGCCCAAACGCACCCTTAAGCTCAAATGAGTCTACCAGAGGAGGAGCAAACCCTTACCCAGTTTGGAACGGGCCTTCGAGTTCTAGAGCTCGGGACCGTGAGGAAATCAGTGTGAGAACCTATCGAAGAACTAATAATAATAATAATAACAATGTTGAGTACCCTCGAAATGCCTCGGCCTCGCAGGACCAAGTCGATTGGAGTTTTGTGCCTGGGAACTCGCTGTCTTCAAGAAATCACTCATTGGGCTTGCGGGCCTGCCCAGGTTCTGGGGGCAATCGGGCCTCGTCTGCTTATATGGCTCCTCATCCGAGCCCGCCATCTCAAAATCATGAGAGGTGGCCCGAGACTGCCACATGGGTCCCGCCTTTTCATCGTGGTGAAAGTGAATCCGGGATTCGGAGGGGTCACATTGTCCCGCATTTGGGTTCTCCTTCAGATGAGGCGGGCCCCAGCAGCAGCCGGTCGCGAAATCAATTGGATCAGAGGTCATCACCGGGGTTTTTGATGGATGTGACTGGTGATGATGTCAGCGGGTGGCGCTCTTTAGCGGCTGTAGAGAGCAGGCATAGGCTGGTATGTTGTTTTTTTTTTTTTTTTTTAATGCTTACAAATTACGAATTTTCGTACAAATGTAGAGGTTATAAGGCTACATTCAGGATTCTTGATGAATTTTTGAATTTCCGTGTAACAGATTCGTCAAGTGCTGAGTGCCATGCGTAGGGGTGTCCACTTACAGGCCGAGGTTTGTTTGTTCATTCATTATTTTAAGTTTTTTCTTTTGTGATGGTTGAAAACTTGATTTTGTCTTTGGCCCCATTAGAATCTTCTTGGTAAAAACTAGGCGAAAGAAGAAAACTTAAAATACTGCCCAAGCTGAAAGCTTTTTTATGAAACGAGTTGCGATGCGTGTGACCGTTTTCCAAAGCAAAACATTTTTAAGCTGTAACCTAATTTGCCAAACAGTACCAGAAGGAAAATTAGAGCCTTTTTAAAGCTATAAGCTAAATTTAAGCTCTTACTAAACACACTCTTAGATTTGTATGCTTGACTTTAGCTGGCAGCTGGCACAGTTCCATCGTTTACATTGTACCGAGGTAGTAAGTTCTTCCTTCTCATTTTCTCTCAAATAATTAGATGATCTTTTAAATTCTTAGAGAATGGCCTGACACATATATAACACTTCATTATTTTGCCGTGTGTTCTGAATATTGCGTCAGCTGAAAATCGAACTTAGCCAGCTCACATTTGTTTTTCAAGAAAGAAAGATCAGCTTAAACCAAAGGGTGCAAAGCAATTGGATGTGTATCCAACTCAATTTTGTTCTATTCAGTTATTTTATTTTAATTTTTATAAAAAATAATAATTATTTGTAATGTGATAGGAAAATAGTGAAATAATGATTGGTAGTTATTAAAATTCTGAAAAGCTCGACTGGTAATGCAGCTATTCAGGTTTTACAATTCTCAATTTACTTTAAAACTGAAAAATCTCAAACATATCCTTTCAGGATTATATGCTCGCTGACCCTTTTTTAAGTGGATTTGCCGAGTTGCACGACAGACACAGAGATATGAGGCTTGATGTTGACAATATGTCATATGAGGTATTCACTTTCAAATTTAACTACACACACATTTTCCAGTCTTACACGAATGAAAAAAGAAAACTGTTCATTATATTTTGTCAAATTTTGTGCTTTGTGAAAGGAATTACTGGCTTTGGAGGAACGAATAGGAAATGTGAGCACTGGATTGACTGAGGAACGAATTACGGGCGCTATGAAACAAAGGAAATTCGACTCGATTGGTGTCTTGTCAAACTTGGAGCCATGTTGTGTTTGCCAGGTTAATAAAAAAGCCATTTCATTTCTTGTCATCTTCACATATTTGTTTGTTAGTCTAATTTTTGATAATATAGAATTTTGTGTTCATTATATACAAACACAACCAGCAGGAGTTGTGATACATATATATAGGCTAAATTGCATTTTTAGTTTTGTTGGTTAAACGTCATAGCGATGTTAGTCCTAGGATTCTAACATTTGCCTTTTGGTCCTGTAATTTAATGTTTATAGTCCAACTGGTTTAATACCATAGCAATTTTAGACTCCAGTTTTTAACATTTTTCCTTCTCGTCCTGTAATTTAATATTTTTAGTCTTCCTGTAATTTAATATTTTTTTTTTAGTTTTCTTGGTTTAACGCTATAGCACTTTTAGTCTCAAAATTCTGACATTTTGCCTTTTGGTCCTGCAATTCAATATTTTGCTGCAATTTCAGTTCTTGTTCTCAAATTGCAACAAATTCTCAATTTATATCTTTGGGATGAATTTTGGTTAGCAATTTAGTCTTGTTAAATTTAAACTTTTATTGCAATTTCAGCCCTGTAATTTAAAAACTTGTTGCAATTTCAGTCCTCAAATGACTCAAATGACTGAAATTGCAGCAAAATATAAATCGCAACACTTAAAGGCGAAAAGTTGGAATCTTGGGACTAACATTCTATGGTGTTAACCAACAGGACTAAAAATGCATTTTTACCATTTATACAAGGGTATTTTATTACTATTACTCAAAGCAAAGATATATTACTTATGAATTATGAATTTATGATCGTGTCTTATGCTCATAGTAAGCACCATATGCACATCATTCGTGTTTTTTTTTTTTTACCAAACTCGAAACTTTATCTTATTTCTCGTTTTGTTTAACTAGGAGGATTACATTACTGGTGACAATATCGGGATATTGGATTGTGGGCACGAATTTCACACGGGCTGCATCAAACAATGGCTCACGGTCAAGAATCTGTGCCCCATATGTAAGATGACGGGCTTGGGAATTTAAAACCGATACCTTAAGAGTTCAATTGTTCGCACCCCTTTTCACCTTATTTCCGTTTTATTTAAAACTTCGGTCGACACTGGTTTTTTCGTACTCTTCCTCGACTGGGAGATGAAGAAAGCCTGTGTGCACCTTTGATACTTCTATATAAAGTTTAGAACTTTGTGATTTATGAACAATTTTGTAATTCTTCCATAAACAAAAAATGAGCAAAAAGATGAACATAAAAAATTTGGACCTTGAGAACATTTGGCTGATTAATAATTTCCAAATGATATTTCTGGAGATTATTATTATTATAGTTATTATGATGATGGTGTTAATTGTTGTGGCTTGATGTTTCATTATGGTGATTATGTTCCTTCTAATCTCAGATTTAGAACTTGAAATTAGGAGAATTGTGATTGTTTATGAATTGATTGATGATTTAGACTAGTTTTAGGAGAATTGTGAACTTGAAATTAGTAATTTCGGCCAATTTTAACTATAGGAAAATGTTACGGTCACGATTCGAAATCATTATGTCGGGGTTTGTAAACGTAAGATCAAAGAAGGTTACATGATGATTTAATTGTTACAAATTCAAACGGAATGGATCAGTAACGGGATTATAGCATCTCTCCTTAAGCTATTTTATTTACTAAACAAATTATTTAGCGTATTTGACCAGTCAAAATCTGAATGAAATTCAATCGTGTTAATTCTAACTCAATCCGCTAACACACAAACGAATCAATTACCCATTTGCCTGATATTATTTGTGTTGAGCATAGCCTGAAAATGCTATGTGGATCAAAAATGTGTGGCGATATGAGTAATTGAACAAGTGGGCCTATACAAAGTGAAACTGCCAAAAGCCCACGTCAGATTCCTTAGTATAGGCCCACTTATTCAAGTGAAAATGCCAAAGCCCACGTGAGATTCCTTTGTCCACGGTAGAGCTGCACACACGAGCCGCTCGAGCTCAAGTTTGACCGAACTTGAATCGAGCTCCAGCGGCTCGAGCCGATATTTTGTATTGTCGAGCAGCATGCGAGCGACTCCAAATATATTTTAGATTACTAAAATACCCTTTGTATATATGTATCATAATAATAATAATATATGTACTCAATGGTAATTTTCAAAAATGCTTGAAAAATTTCGAACCGAACTCGAGCTGAGCTCGATCTATTGTATTTTTTTATCGGTTCGAGCTCGTGCAACTAAAAAAATAATCAATCATGTTCAATAAGTTCAATGCTCAACTCGGCTCAGTTTGTTAGTCCACGACCTCTCATATTTTGTACTATAGTTTAAGATGACCTTATTTGTGAATATTCAATTTTTAACATTAATTAAATTCATTCACACGTGCAATTGAATGGCTTTTATTAAAATTACTTCGCATGGTGGTAAGTGTTGACTGTTGAGGGGATTGGACGAGCTCTTTGACTTACCTACCCTAATCAATAATCATCAATTACATATGCAATATTTTATTCTTCCCTAAATTTTATTTAATTTTCTTAAAGATAATTTTATTTATATATCCAGTTACTAGTGTGTATCCCGTGCGATGTACGGGTAAACAATATTAAATAATAATTATAAATAAGTATCGAGTTCGAGTCACTCAATGAAAGAATTGGGGAACCACTATGGATCTTCTCTTAAAAGAGCAAGAAACGATATTATAAATTAAAGATAAGGGTAAACGATATTAAATAATAATTATAAATTAACGATGCGGGGTTAACATGTCATATAATTTACGGTATATCAGTTTATTATAAAGGATATAACATTAGCTTGTTCAAGAGAACATAAAATTTGTATGTTTAAACAATTAAAAACTCCTAAAATATTATATTAACATATGTAAAATTATCTAAACTTTTCTATATTATTATCAAAAGATGTGAAGTCACCTAAAACTTTTTAAAATTTTTTTGTAAAGAAAATATATCTAAAAACATTAAAGTTTACATTTGTATGAAATATGTTTTCTGAATATGACATGATAAAATATTATATAAAAGTATCTAAAATATTATAAGCCTAAACAAATACATTTTAAAGTTTTTGAAAGAAAATTTACCTAGTATATATAAAATAAATATTGACATGATGTTGAAAATTATGACGATACTACCGTACCTGAAAATTTGAGTATAGAAGATTTTTATTATTTTTTTGAGTAATTTGAGTACAAAAGATTTTAAAATTATTATTATTATTCTTTTAAGTAATTTGAGTATATAAGATTTCAAAATTATTATTATTTTTTAGTTACTGTGAATATTATTATTATTCTTTTAAGTAATTTGAGTACAAAAGATTTCAAAATTATTATTTTTTAGTTACTGTAAAAAGAAATTTTGTACGCATAAAATTTCACGCTTTATGATTTATCAATTTTATAATAAAATGGGATTTATTTTATATTGAATGGAGACTAAGAAATTTTGAAAGAAAAAAAAAAATTGTCTATTTTCAAAATTATCCTCTTGATCTTTTAAACAATACATTTGTAATTTGACTTAATTATTGTAAAATTTTGAAACTTATGAAAAAAAATTAAAGAGATGTATTTCGATTGATTTGAAATTCTTAAATCATTTTGAATTTCGTGCAAATTGAAACCTAAAAAAATGAAATTCATTATAATTTTGTAATTTCCAAGAGGTTTGTTAATTTTAAAGTTGCGCAAAATTCTTCATTTAAGGTTAGCCGTCCAAGAATAGAAGCATGTGATTAGATATTTTTAATTCAATTTGAACAAATTCCTTTATATTAGGAAGAGATTTTGAATTAAGCCCAAATTTGTGGTAACTAAAATGAGAAGGGGTTTTGAATTTTAAATTTTTAATTCAAGTTTTAAGGTAATTTTTTAAGCAATCTGATTGTTTAGAATAAAAACACAATTGAATTTTTTAAATCAAATATGAGAAAGGATTTTTAATTTCAAATTACATTCAATGATCGAAATTTTTAGAACTAAATGGAACTAAATCCACCAAT